TTATTGTTTTATAGGTTTGGACTCATTTTTGGAGCACCATTCTCTAGATTGTTGCACAGTTTCGATATCATATTCATAAGCCTATATCATGTCACTAGTTCTGTGGTTCTTCAGCTGCGTTAATAAAAGTTTCTTTAGCGATCGTCGCCTTTTTGGAAAATTTTAGTTATTTTGATAAATGTTTGGTATTGACACGCTTCATACCTAATATATTATACCTCAAACTTTATACCTGAAACTTTGGATCTGAAACTTTAATCCAAAATTCCTAAGTCGATCTCTTTGATACTATCTCGATGATTTTCAAGCACTATTTCTTCAACTTCATCGATGTATATATGTATATCATCTTGAACAAAGGTTGATGAACAACTCGCTTCAGTTAAAGTTTTGATGTCGCCTTGACCTTCAACGAATGTTTTGTGCCACTCAAATACTTGTGTTCGTAATGAAGTATATTCCATAAAATACTTCTCTAATATTTTCAACATTTTCGACATTTCTTCTGGTCGTAATTTAAAGCGAATTCGTTCTTAAAATGTTTTTGATAATGTAAATCGTTAGAGAAAGTTTTCGCGTCTTAGACAGACAGCTGCCCAAACACATACTAACTGAACAAACTTCCCACGAATAATAAAAAAATATTCCAACGATGCAAGGTAAAAAAATGTTCGATTCGGTATGTGCGCTCAGTTTATATGGACCAGTCCGAGTCTAATTGATGTCAGATCGTCGTTTAGCTTCTCTGTCAGTCAACTGTAATGCAACGCGAAAAACATAGGTCTCTATAAGGTTAATTAACATTAGGTTTTACCACCCGGCTGATACGTCGTACATAAACTTACTGCCCCTTACTAATGCCCACTGTAGTCCTTACTAATACCTAATGAAGGTTCAGTTTAATTTGGTTTGAGAATTTCAACATAAAGGACATCAAGGCGTTTTTCGAGCTGTAATTGTACATTGATAGCTAATTTTGATACTTCATACTGTTGAACTGCGAAGCTTCAAGTTATCTAAGACTTCTTATAAATAATTCTAGAAAGAAGCATATGAGGTATACCAGTGTCTCCCTCAGCATAATTCTTCCACTTTCTGCATGTTTTGTCGTTACTTATGCCCATTAGGTGGCATGTGATGACAGTACGAGGTGTGTTCAAAAAGTATCGCGAATTTTGAATTTTCGCGGGTTACGTATATTCGAATTTCGAATATATGTTGTGGCGTTATGTTGGTACTCATGTCCCTCACTTATGCCGACAAACTCGGCCATTTTGAATGTTCATTTAATTGTTGACAGCTGCTTTGCTTGCACGTATTTTGGATCGTCTTCGATTTTCACCTGTTCAAAAAAATGGATCAAAGAACCTGTATCAAATTTTGTGTGAAAAACGAAATTAAGTGCGCGGATGCATTCCGAATGTTCACTGTGGCATACGGAGAAGCTACCTTCGACCGAAGCAAATTTTATCGTTGGTACAAAATGTTCTCAGAAGGCCAAGAAAATGTGACAAAAATTGGCTTTTGCACCACGATAACGCCAGTGCTCACACATCGTTGCTTGTGCGCGACATTTTGGTCAAAAAGCAGCACACTAATAATGCCGCAGCCACCGTAGAGACCCACAAAGATCTATCCCCCTGTGACTTTTTTATATTCCCTAAACTGAAGAGGCCCATGAAAGGACGACGTTACGCTTCTCTTGACGAGATAAAGACGGCATCGAAGGAGGAGCTGAAGAAGATAAAAAAGTGATTTTTTGAAGTGCTTCGAAGACTGGAGAAACCGTTGGCACAAGTGTATAATATCTCATGGGAATTACTTTGAAGGGGACAAAATAGATATTCATGAATAAATAAATAATTTTTAAAAGAACACAAAATTCGCGATACTTTTTGAACACACCTCGTATGTTGTGACCAATTATTAGTTCAACAAGCATCTAGCCGTTCTATCGAGACCGTGTGAGTAAAATGCAACGTCTTTCTCTTCGTGCATATAATCTTGAGGATCTTGAGGTTTCTGCATGTCCTTAAAACATTCCAGCTCGCACTGACCCGTCAGTCAGCCCTCGTGGAAATTTAGTATATAATTATTAATGACTTCTAAATTGTCCGTACTTATTCTGTAGCCAGACGGATGACACTTTTGGCTATCTATTTCATATCTTGAAATTGAAGTTGTGATCCAGAATACTGATCTTTATAAATCAAAAGAATCCCTTTTTCTTTTTAGACATTAATACTCTGAAATATTGAAGTTAAATTGCCTAGATACAAGCGTTGCCCCACAATTGACCTTACTTTGTTAGTCACCTACATCATAAATTTGGTGATAAAGCGAGTTTCTCGGAAGTCTTTACGACTCCTAAGGATCTATTCGGCGAATATTTCACCACCTTTCAGAACAGTCAATTTCCAAATTAACCATTCCACTCCCTTTCAGCTCTTTCAACTCTACTAACATGTCATATAAGATTAATGTTTTATAAGGCATGTAAATGCTTTCCCGCTTATCAAATACGAGTAGCAGGGAATCCCAAAGGTGTTTCAACCCATTAAACCCATATTATTACACAATCAAAAAATTGCAAATACATTATGTTCACGGAAAAACGTTCATTCGTCTACTAATTTATAAATTGTATTCAACACAAACATACACACATTATTGCAAAAACATAAGAAGCCCCTCGATTATATGCTTAAAAAGTTATACAAATTTTATATTCCATTATTTACCTCGCCAAATACTCAATCCGAGTGTGCACACAACCCAAATGTGCCTGTCACTGCTTTGATAATAAAATTCCTCGGAAGTTTTGCATAAAAAGTTACCGAAATCATACACACACATCTAAACGCAGTCACGTATATTTATGTCTGTATAATTTCCGTATGTTTTACTTGTCGTTTGTCGGTTACCATTGCCGTATTTAATTAAATCCCTTGCTGCCACTAACATCCGCCGAAGCGTTGCCTGCAAACGACTTTCTTAGCATTTGCTTTCGCCTTATTTGCCATATTTGGCGGTCTTACTTTTACAGTTGGCAACGCAGTCGTAATTTATTATAGTCCCCTGCATTTAGCCTATTTAATACATCAAATATCATTGCTGGCACATTACTTCCATTGTGTGGCTTTGTGTCAACGTTGGCATGTCTTAAAGGCATTAACCAGCTAGGCGAACTAAGGAGGGCTTTTTTTCTTTTGGTTGTCTGGTACTCGCGGTATTCTTTATGTGGCACTTAATATGGTGGCATTTGTTTGGTTTAAGAAAGCATTTTAAGAGTTAAGGCAGGCTATTGAAAAGTGTCTTCGAATTAAATATTCTCGATAAGGAAATCAGTTCTAATCCATTCGTGTGTGTTTTTATTAGAGATAGCTAGGATTTTCCGAAACTTTTTCACTGCAGAGAAAAGTGATTAATAATTTACATATTTTCCTACAAATGTTTGAAGTAATTACCAGACTGGCAACGAATTCAGTCAGCAGCTCTTTAAGATTTTAACAGTTTAGAGAAATAACTAGAAGCTTTCGTACACAGCTTTCACAAACTTTTGTATTTATCCATTTTGAGCTTACACATTTATCTAATGCTTTGTTAAAGAGCTTACAGCTCGTACATATTCCACATAAGCTGTATTTAGATATTAAAAATTGTTTAAAGTCTTTTGAGGAGCGCTCACTATTGGAAAAGAATTATGCATGGACCTTTCAAGTCCAAACATTACTCCCTAGAACTGCTCTTAGTGGTTTTCATAGACCTAAAAGAAAGTTTTCTTTATCCTTTATCTCTTCTTTGACGCAAGCTAACGTAGCTTTTCTGTAGAGCTTTCTTTACGCAAGAGCTTTCGTATAAGGTTCAGGACTAAAGACTAGATATTCGAAATGAGCAGTAATAATCAATATTAATGAGTTTTGAAACAAGGTTACTTCGGGGTTGGTGTGGAATTTCGAGCTCTCTTATATTGGGTAGTCTAAAAAGTCTTTTCAATAATGTGCGAAAAAGATCATGATCCAAGCGTGTTGAAGCTCAAGAAATGGTCGCCAGGATTGACCCTCGAAGAGTTTTGCTGCTCCAGCCTGGTCGAACGATTGATTCTACATTTTACTGTCAACAACTGATGACATTGAAGCGAGCAGTGTAAAAAACCTGCCCGAAATGATCAACAGAAAGGCCTTAGTCTTCCATCAGTACAATGCTAGATCACACACAATTTTGATAACTCAGCAAACACTAGGAGAGCTTGGCTGGGAAGTTTTGTTGCATCCACCATATAGCCCTGACCTTGCACCATCGGACTACCATTTGTTTCAGTAAATGCAGAGTTTCCTTAATGGAGTAAAGTTGGCTTCAAGAGAAGCCTGTGAAAATTACTTAGCGCAGTTTTTCGCCAAGAAACCAGAAAAGTTTTAAACTGATGGAATAATGTCTCTAGCGGAAAAATGCCAAAAATTACTCGATAAAAATGCTTCATTGAAGTTGGTCAAGTTTAAGTTTGTTTATAAATTCAGAAGGACTTTTTCCACTATCCAATATTTATAGAAGTCATCGGAACCAAAAAAGTTCAAAATAAGTTTAATCGAAATGTATAGTTTGAGCATGAAGAGTGTATACATTTTTTTAAACTGAAAGAATTCTCCAAATACCTTTGCACTATATAGGGATAGTCATCCTAAGTGTATAGCGTAGTGTAGCAGGTCAAACACTACCCTTTTCCTCAATTGATCTCTCCTGCCGTCCAAAAATCACTTTTGCTTTACTTCAGAGCATTCCTAGTCGAACTATTGTAATGATGAGTGAACTGAATTCGATTGTGTATTCGTATAGAATAATAATATAAATATAGAGATTTCTAACTAGTCGTGCTAATAACTATTGCAATACATGGGATCACCCTATAGCTTTTACTAACTAACTCAAACTCCGACGCATACATTCTATCACCTCGTCTGATAAAGTTTTTCATTTCTCCGTTTCTAACTTTCTCATTTCAGAATTGGCAGGCAGTTGTCAACTCATCGCTCGCCTCACTGCTGCTGCTCGGCGTCTCGACTACGATTGCGATTGCGTTGGTTGTTAACTCCGAACTGGTGCCAAAAAAAATGTTGCATATCAATAAAATGTCAACGGCCACAGCCGCAAGTGCACGCGTAACGACAATAAAAAAGGAACAACAACAAAAGAATCAACATAAACAACAACAGCAAACTCAGCATAAACAACAACACGACTTGAATATGCGGCATAACTCCACAAGTGGCAATGACAATGGCAGTGGCGCGCCTATGGCAGCCGCCGCGCCCGCAACCACCATCGACGCACACAGCCTGAGCGCCACCACAAACATTACGCAAATCAGCAGCAACAGCAACAACAGCAGTGTGGGCATCAATGTCAGCGCCAGCTTCGCCCTTGGTGGCAGCAATGACAATAGCATTGCTAGCGACAGCAGTGCCACCGCCAGCGGTCGACGCGCGGGCAGTGTTTCAGGCGCGTCAGCTGCACGCTCCGTGGCGCTGGTACAAGAGCTCTATTTTCCGGTGAGCGTACGCGCCGTCATCGGCATTAGTTGGCTGCCGCCATTGCTCTATGCCATCGCTGTGCCGCTGATATGCAGCATTATTGGCAAATGGCCACGCAATTGGTGGCTCCAAGTGATGAGCAATACAACTTCGGGCGCGCCAACAACAGCAACAAGCGCAGCAATGTCCGACGCTATGTTTGGTATGCCACATGGTTTGTCGCATATGTACGGTGGCGGATATAGTGGCGGAAGTGATTACTTAGTGGCGCATATGGCACCCACACAATCACCGGCTACATCGTTAAGTCTGAAGATTGAACCGAGTCACATCAGCAACCAAAGCAATGATGGGTACAGCGTGTTGGCGAGCACAACAAGCGACAGCATCTTGGAGCTGGCATCAATCACAGCTGCTGAAATTACAACCGCTACCACCGGAATATTAACAACTGCTAGCGCTGTTACTGCCACTAGCACGTATGGCGCCCACAACAACAACAATGCCACCACTGCTGCGTCTTCCGTGAGCGCCTCCGTGTCGACTGCTTCCACTTCGACGACCTTCTCCGTTGCCGGCTGGCATAACAACTTCCAACCGGCAGCTATCTCCGCTTCCGCCACCGCTGCTGCCTATCACGGTGACTTCGCGGCTTACACCGACTCAGATGCCACGGAGCTGGAGTCACAGCTCACGGGCGATGGCAGTGGCGTGCCAGCGCTCAGTTTCATCATATTTATTTGCGTTGATTTACTTTTCGTTTTGCTCTTTTTTGCGCTCTTCGTCATTTTAATCAAGAAACTTTTATGGCTGTGGCATAAAAATCGAAATATTCATGCGCATCCGCAGGATAAGTTCAATGTGGCCATGCGTAGACGGTAAGTCAGTTGCCATTTTCTTCAACCGCAAGTGTGCACGAAGTGTTGACTTATTTATTTTACTTTTATTTTATTTTTTATTTTTTTATTTATTTCGCTGTTGAAAGTTTGCTAGTGCAACGCAATTGAGACATTTTTCATTCTGACTTCTGGAATGCGCAAGTGGGTGAAAAGTGGTTTTCAGTTGCTCGAACTTAGTTAGTTTTCAATCGATTTATTCCTTAATTGCTAGTTTAAATTTATAAAGTTTTATGCAATTTAATGAAGATTCAGCCTTCGGTTAGTAAATTAAAGTGGCACTATGGTTTGCCTAATCATATATTCGTATTCCATCACACCACGTCCGTAGGCTAAACAGTGAAGGGTAAATCAAAGGTACTAAAGTAAAATACTTGGTAGAATATACTTAATACTCTTTGTATAGAAATTCAGTACCTGTTTGTTCAAGAAGTCTTGTCTTTTGATAAAAAAAAAGCGCAATATTATGATTCAAAATACATTTTATTATTCAGCGTAATCACCCTGAACATTAATACACTTGCTCCAACGATCCTCCATTCTGTGGATCTCATCCCTGTAGTGAGAATCCTCAATATCTGCAAAATAGGCTGTTGTGTTCTTTTCATTTGATGAAAAACGCTTGCCACGCATATATTTTTTGAGTTCTGGAAACAAATGAAAAAAGCTGGGGAGTCGATGCTCCAACAATTCGAACTTTATTTCATAGATTTTAGCCATTGCCAAAATGCTCTTGAGTCACGGTGCATTGTCCTGATGAAAAAGGATTTTTATTTCTACATACCGGGAGTTTTTGACGATTTTTTCCTTCCACTGGTTTAAAAGATTGCAGTAATGTATAGAATTAATTGTTTTACCAGTTTGCAAGTAATCCACAAACAAAATTCGTTTGCATCCCAAAAAACTGATACCATAACCTTCTTGACCGATTATTCCGGGCACGAACTCGTTTTGAAGCCGAACGGTTGTTCACACCACTCTTTAATCTCTTGTTTTGATTCGAGATTATGGTGAAAGGCCCAAATCTCATACATAGTGGTGAATCGCCGCACAAAATCCACTTCATCCTTTTTAAAACGCTCCAAATGTTGCTGAGAAAGTCGCATTCGAATGTGTTTTTGTTCCATTTTTAGCGAATGCGGCACCAATTGTATACACAGCTTTCTGTCCTGTATTTTGGCTATGATTTCTGGTGTTGATGTGCCTTTTGGACGTCTATCACATGTATCGTCTTTAAAGCTTGTACGACCACATTTAGATATCATAATATTCTGCATTATATCCATCTGTACATATCGGTCCATTATGACGGTTATCTTTGAATCGAATTGAACCTATATCTCTGTAGGAAAAGCAGGACCAAACCATGATACTCGAACCGCATTGCTTTAAAGTTTTTGTGGTGAATCTGGGGTTGTACTTTGTATTATGTAATATTAGGAAAGCGTCTTGTATACTTTTACCACCGTATAGAACCACTTTCGACTAGTCGGTCGACAAAACTTTTCGCCATTTCTCAATCGGCCAAATTAGATGTTCTTTGCCGAATTTTTAGTCGGCTTTTTTTTATAACTGTACTTTTCGAGGACTACGGGCATATCAATTATGTTCACGCAGAAGTCTTATTGCTGTATGAACACCGCAGGACTGGGTGAGGTCGTTTTGAATTTCTGCAGCTGACATTGTAGGTCAAGTCTTATCAAATTGTACAACTTTTCGTATAAAATTCTCAGATATAAACCGCTTTGCGCTCTTTTTCATCTTTTTTCTTTGTGTTTTTTTTTTCTTTTTTTTTTCTTCATTACAGTGCTTCCCATATATACTGCAACAAGTAGAAAAGTATTGAAAGTCTTGCCCATCTATGTAAACCTATAAATTTTTCTTACCTTCCTTACATATGTGTATTCCACAACCACGGTAATCGTAATGGATTAGTTTTTTATTACCATGCAAAACGACTTCCTTTTGTAGCGTCCGAGCAGCTTTTCAAATATGAAAAACCATCTTTCAACGTCTTTTGACGTGACTAGCAGCCATTTTTCCTACTTTTGAAGAAACCCAGCTACTCTTAAACTTTATAAAATGGATGCTTAAGTGAATCCCAGAGGGCTTGAGACTTTTACTCATGTTTCGCAACAATCTTCAACTAGTATTGCTTCCAGTTCCTATACTTCAAACTCTTTTGGGCGTTAAGAAGGTTTCTCCTTTCCCAGAAAAGTACACAATGATAATAGGTTTGCAACGTATGTTCGGTATAACAGAATAAGTAACAAACCATCTCTTTGCAAAATAATAATTGTAGACATATTTTTGGTTCTTTTTAAAATGGACTTTAATAGATTTATACATATTTATTATTTATTTATATTATTTAGTTGCAGATATCCCTTGCATAATTTATTGTCTAAAATCAAATCAAACTTAGTCATTCTAAATCATGGTTTAAAAAAAAAATTGCCGAAGGCGTAGTAGTAGTACCACCTGACAGTGAAAGACGTCAAAGAGAGTACCTTTAAAATTAAATTATTTCATACAGCAACTAAGAAGCCTTTGCTAACCATATACTTGTACACATTATATGCAAGAATCTTTACCGACAGCATCGACGATTTGGTTAAATTATAGAAAATTATTTTGATCAGCCATTCGATGGCTAATAAAAGGCATATTTAATATGTTTTTGGAGGTATAATAATCTGTTGGAATAGGCTTAAAATTTCATAGAAGACAAACGTGTGAATTGAAATAATCCATAAATAGCAGGAGAAGCACCACAGAGAGAGTTTAGAGTATAATCTTTATTAGCAATATCGAAGTATGTTCTATGGTGGGTTTAAGAAACTCCAATTTTAATGTCACATTCATTGCCTGCTAAATCAACGAGAAGGCCAAATTTTGAAATTGTGACAGAAATCAAGACTGAAGTTGAGTTTAAGAAAGGACTTATAGGTCTATATATTTATAAGCTCAGTATTTGTCAGTACTATTTAACGTTTAATACTAAAATTGTTACCAGATGTTTGATGCTTCTAACTAAACTCGAGGTTATGATAATTTTCTTCAGAGTTTTTAGCCTCTAACGATAATTATATACATAAACTCAGTGTTACTGAGTAGTGTGTAATATTGAACACCAAAAATGTGCATAAAGTCGATTTTATAGCTGTTTTTTAATGAGGTTTGAGAAGATCTAAGTACCAAATATATACATACAAAATCAGTGTTAATGAGTGGTGTTTACTCGAGCTTACGATAAGTTTCTGCCACTTCAAAAACTCCAAATATTAGACGTTTGTGAGCTTATAGCATAGCTTAGAGCATTCAATTTTAAAAAGTTTTCTCCAAAAATCCAAAAACACAACCGCAGTTAGTGATAAGTAATTCAGTTTCTGATTTTCAAATATACGCATAGTGCACTCAAATTTACGTTAATTATGCCTCCAACAGCTACTTTGTGACACTTGCTTAGACAGAAATAAACGCCACTCAAACATAAGTGCACAGTAGTGTAGTAATTTTTACCGCATATTACTAAATTATACGCTAATATATTGACGTTATTACAACTAACTAGCGGCTAGCTTTATTTACTCCACGCAACACTACACTATAATGAGCTCAGTAAATGCGAGTAATAATAATAACTAACAACAATTTACAGTTGAACTTAATTGCATTACAATATTGTTTTAATCGCCACGCGATAATTTATATTTGCATTTACTACACTGGCATTTAATAATGTTGTGTGTATTATAATACACATATATATGTACATATGATAATATACATATACATACATATGTATTTGTTGATGTATAGGTAAGTATGTAGTGTTGGCGTTACTATTTTCATTTATTTGCTTTGCTTGTTTAGATATTCGCTTGCGTTTATTATAGTCTTTACTTTGGTTTCTGATTTCAGCATTGGCCTAATTTACCGCACCGGTTGTTTGCTGTTAATGAAATTATCAACGGATGCATTATTCATAGCATATGTAAATTCAACACAAAATTCATGGTGGTCCTATCCGTTTGGCATATCTTGCATATTGTTGGTGAGTGCAAATGAGCGCTAATACATGCATATGTACATACATAGAAAATACATATTTTATATATAAAATTCTAATATCTATGTTTATGAAATTCACTCAAATTTACATAACTTCGAACCGGAATACCAAAAAATATAAGT